CCTCTCATCTCACTCCACTCCCCCTTCACTCACTCTCCTACCTCTCTCACTCTTACTCTACTCACTCCCCTACCTCTCCACTCTGGTCTCACTCGACTACCCTCCATCACACATTCTGCTGCTAGCTGTTGCCCCTCTTGTACCGCTTGTCCACTGGCACATCCGAGCCACGCTGGGCCCTCACGGGTAAATGCAAATTCTCAAATATATTTGTGTTAACCAAGTGGTAACTAAACTCAACTTAAACTTCTAGATTTGAAGCTTTCGTGACTGCAAGGATTCATATTCTTAGGTTTTTTTGGTAAAGTCACGTAGGTAAAAAATTTAATTAATAAAAGTAAAATAAAATAAAATCACGACGTTTCGGAGGCAACACAAGCTTCCGTCTTCAGGTGGAACCGTCACAGCACGATAGCTGTATCAAGTGAGAGAAATTCCAAGAAAACAGTCCTTATATTTATTGATACAGCAATCGTGCTGTGACGGTTCCACCTGAAGACGGAAGCTTGTGTTGCCTCCGAAACGTCGTGATTTTTATTTTATTTTTATTTTACTTTTATTAATTTTAATTTTTTACCTACGTGACTTTTCCGAAAAAAACTAAGAATATCAACTTCAACGATTTTTTCTTTTAGTTATTTATTTATTTATTTTACCAGGTGAGGCCCACTGAGCTACAGAGCTCATTTTCAGAAGCGACCAGGCCATCCCAAACGATAGCTCAACGATGCGGCTTATCGCGTGGAAATTTATAGCAGACACATATTCTAAACGAATGATTCTAAATATGCAGAGGGACAAACCGGAGGACCCGGAGAAGAATCCACGTGTCCACGGGGAGAGCATGCAAACTCAAAATATATACTGCAGCAGCCGTCAAACTCACGACCTCCTGTAGACCAGGCGAGGTGGTCAACATCTCCCAGGATCTGGAGATCGAATCCCCGACCTCCTGTAGGCCAGGCGAGGTAGTCAACATCTCCCAATGTCTGTGATGGAACCCACGACCTCCTGTAGACCAGGGGAGGTAGTCAACATCTCTCATGATAATCTAACCCACGACCTCCTGTAGACCAGGCGAGGTGGTCAACATCTCCCAGGATCTGGAGATCGAATCCCCGACCTCCTGTAGGCCAGGCGAGGTAGTCCACATCTCCCAATGTCTGTGATGGAACCCACGACCTCCTGTATACCAGGCGAGGTAGTCAACATCTCTCATGCTAATCTAACCCACGACCTCCTGTATACCAGGCGAGGTGGTCAACATCTCCCAGGATCTGGAGATCAAATCCACGACCTCCTGTAGGTCAGGCGAGGTAGTCAACATCTCACAATGTCTGTGATGGAACCCACGACCTCCTGTATACCAGGCGAGGTAGTCAACATCTCTCATGCTAATCTAACCCACGACCTCCTGCATACCAGGGGAGGGTAGTAAACCATGATGAGTCTTTATTTGCAAGACCCACCTGCATGACCGACGTGGCACGAGCAGTAAAATAAAGTCCAGCAATGTAGCGAATAGAAATGGGTGCAAAAACAACGTCGTGAAACCGGATAAAGCTCTCTACTGCACCGTACCACGGTGAAAAGCACCTCTGCTGCTGCAAAATTAGAAATAACATCGGCTTGGACTACGTCAAACGCCAGCAACACATCACAGAGACGATCTTTCTCTTTGTGCCGATACGTGTTACTCTCTCTCTGTGTGCCTTTGTGATGTCTGTCTAGAGTTTTGTGGTTAGATTTTTTTGTTGCTATTTATTTTACACCTGATGACGATTGCTTGTGTTGCGATCGAAACGTCGTAGTATGCTATTATTTTATTTATTATTTTATCTTTATACGTGACTTAACCGAAAGAACCAAAGAATAATTCCTGCAGTCACGAAAGCTCCAAAATTAAGATTGCACATCAGCTGGCAACCGCTCGCTCCTAAGCACGCGGAGCGAAACGTCGGACCTCGTACCGAACCGGTACAACCCGAAGAAAACAACGTCGGACGGCTACACAGCCGCGAAAATCTTGCGTCTGTGTCGTCCGTGCGGCCGGGCGCGGTACGGAGGAATCTTTGTGTTCTGTGGGGTTTATTTTTTTTGTTGGGGCCTCGCATATTTGCCGTGCTTCCATTGTACGCCGCCACGCAGGACGCGACAAGTCTGGGCAGGGTGACTGGCCGGGCTCAACATCTGCATTCAATCGCGCGGCGTGGTTTACATCCAACGGCTGATGAAGGGCGACGGCTCGCGCATTGCGTGCGTGCGTGGTTGTTCGTACACGCAAAGTTTATAGCGAAAAGCCATCTCGCTGACTGACCCAGGCAGAGCCGTTGCCGAGTGACCCAGCGGAAACTATTAATGCAGGAAAGAGTTTTTTTTCTTTCTGGTGGGGGTGAAGCAATGATGGGTAAAGGCGCTGCCACGCAATTGCTCGCTCATTCCACTGCTGGCGTAAAGCACTCTGCTCGTGGGAGTTTTCGACGGCCCTTCTGGATGATGCCTTGGCCTACTCTTCTACATACCTTCTTTTTTTCTGAATGGGCCCCAAGGACTGATTTGTGGAAACTAACACACCCGATAAGGCGGTTTGATATGCACACACACTGGTTATGGAAATGAGCGAGTGGGTGGTTGTTTGGCGAGATGTGTGGCTTCGCCAGCCTGTGTTGTGGTGACTTCACAACGGAGTTGTAGCAGTAACTCAAGTCTGTGCATGCGTGGTGGGTGGTGTGGGGGGGTAGGTACGGTGAGTGTTTGCAACGTGGTTAGTGCGCTCCGCTACGAACCCCGCTTCCCGGCAGCCCCTGGCCGGTTAAAGTGCGACGAGCGTCGGAGAGACGCGTCTGTGTGCGCGCGGCCGCGATTGTTTTTGCAACCGAGATCTGCGTCTGCATCTGCCGTGCCGAGCTTTACGGCGGCAGTCTCCCTCGGCGGCTTTTTGTGTATTTTTTTTATAGCCTCGGGCCGAGTGAGTAAAGTGTGTCGGGCCTGGCGTGCGAGTGTGGGCGCGGCGTGTGCGGACGTCAACGACGGGGAGAAAAAGGTGGCCGGCGGGCAGAGGTCGCAACCGGGTACCCGATACCCGTACCCTACCCGATACCCGTACCCTACCCGATACCCGTACCCTACCCGATACCCGTACCCTACCCGATACCCGTACCCTACCCGCTACCCGTACCCTGCCCGCTACCCGTACCCTACCCGATACCCGTACCCTGCCCGATACCCGTACCCTACCCGATACCCGTACCCTGCCCGCTACCCGTACCCTACCCGATACCCGTACCCTACCCGATACCCGTACCCTACCCGATACCCGTACCCTACCCGATACCCGGCTACCCATACCCTACCCGATACCCGTACCCTACCCGATACCCGTACCCTACCCGATACCCGTACCCTACCCGATACCCGTACCCTACCCGATACCTGTACCCTACCCGATACCCGTACCCTACCCGATACCCGTACCCTGCCCGATACCCGGCTACCCGTACCCGGCCGGGTACGGGTACCCGTTTGCGACCCTGGTGCGGCCGGGTACGGGTAGGCCGTGAGTCACTGGTGAGTCACCATTTGTCACTCATTTCCCAACGTCTTGTCTCTTCTCACAATTCAAGTTCCTAGAATCAACCCACTCGTGCCTGCAACATGGCTTCATCCCAGAGGTCGCAATCAGGTACCCGATACCCGTACCCGTCTGGGTACGGGTGTAGGGTACGGGTACGGCCGGGTACGGGTACGGGTACCCGTTTGCGACCCTGGTGCGGCCGGGTACGGGTAAGGAATCAAAACCCGTTTGCGACCTCTGCTGGCGGGTGCCTGTCTGAGTTGGTGATCGCTCGCAGCGCATGCCCCCATCAGTCTGTATGCATCTGTGGGGGTGTGGGGGGGGGGAAATTAGATATTTTTTTTTATGTTTACGTGAGTGTATGCGTGCGTTTCCCTGCATACATATATATAATCCCACCCTTTCATGACAACTCCCAACCATGGCCTCTGTGGTTAAGGTGTCTTGAGTAAATAATAGGAACGGTCGTAACGCCCTTCATTTACCCGGGACGGAATACTTGCCAAGTCCCCGGGACCTGGTCCTCCATTGGTGTAATAACCAGCAAACTGCACTTGCAATCAATGGGTCGCTGGGTTGGTGTCGCGGTGGCTAGGAGATGTTAACTACCTCGCCCGGCGTGCAGGAGGTCGTGGGATTGATCCCGACCCTGATTTAAAAGTATATAGCTCCGGTAGCTTCTTAATATTGGAAAGAAGAGCGTTCCAGACGGCCACGGAAGCACATCTGAAAGCTGCTGTTGCTGCTGCTGCTGTTGCTGCTGTTGCTGTTGCTGCTGCTGCTGTTGCTGCTGTTGCTGCTACTGCTGTTGCTGCTGCTGCTGTTGCTGCTGTTGCTGCTGCTGCTGCTGTTGCTGCGGCTGCTGCCGTTGCTGCTGCTGCTGCTGCCGTTGCTGCTGCTGCTGCCGCTGTTGCTGCTGTTGCTGCTGCTGCCGCCGCTGCTGCTGCTGCCGCTGTTGCTGCTGTTGCTGCTGCTGTTGCTGCTACTGCTGTTGCTGCTGCTGCCGCTGCTACTGCTGCTGCTGTTGCTGCTGCTGCCGCCGCTGCTGCTACTGCTGCTGCTGCTGCCGCTGCTACTGTTGCTGTTGCTGCGGCTGCTGCTGCTGCTGCTGCCGCTGCTGCTGCTGCTGCCGCTGCTGCTGCTGCTGCTGCTGCTGCGAGGATAACCGGAGGTCTGTGGCCGCCTCCACTCGTTCGCCGTGCGTGTGAAGCGGGCACACCGTGTGACATCGGCGGCACGGCTCGACTTCTGCGGCGGAACGCAAACAGCTGGGTGGGGGGGGGCCTTGTGAGCCACCACCACCGAGCTTTGCAAGAACCCTGGCCGTGGCTGGTTTGTGCCTGCGGGAGAAAGGGGCCTCAAGAAGACAAAGTTGACGTGTCCCTCCCTCCCCCGGTCTCCCTCCGTGCGTTCCCTGGCCGAGCAGGCACGGCGTGCGGCCACCGTCATGTCGGACGGCACGGCGGACAGTCCCTCGGGGCTCCAGCGCAAGAAGCCGGCGGGGCTCACCATCAACATCCCTCCCCGCGTGGACGACGTGACCGACTCCACGGTGAGCGAGGTGGTGATGTGACCGAGCCCCCCACTCCCCACTTCCCCCCACGGCCCCCCCCCCCACTCCCCCACGGCCCCCCCCACCCACTCCCCCACGGCCCCCCCCCCACTCCCCCACGGCCCCCCCCCACTCCCCCACGGCCCCCCCCAAAGACATTTCTACGACGTTGTTTTGTCGTTGCCGCTACTGCTGTTGCTGCTACTGCTGCTGCTACTGCTGCTGCTACTGCTGCTGCTACTGCTGCTACTGCTGTTGCTGCTACTACTGCTGCTGCTGCTACTGCTGCTGCTACTGCTGTTGCTACTGTTGCTGCTGCTGCTGCTACTGCTGCTGCTACTGCTGCTGCTGCTACTGCTGCTGCTACTGCTGCTACTGCTGCTGCTGCAACTACTGCTGCTGCTGCTACTGCTGCTGCTGCTACTGCTGCTGCTACTGCTGCTGCTGCTACTACTACTGCTGCTGCTACTGCTGCTGCTGCTACTACTGCTGCTGCTGCTACTACTGCTGCTGCTGCTACTGCTGCTGCTGCTACTGCTACTGCTGCTGCTACTGCTGCTGCTGCTACTACTGCTGCTGCTGCTACTGCTGCTGCTACTGCTGTTGCTACTGTTGCTGCTGCTGCTACTGCTAGTGCTGCTGCTGCTGCTACTGCTGCTGCTGCTACTGCTGCTGCTACTGCTGCTGCTGCTGCTACTACTGCTGCTGCTGCTACTGCTGCTACTACTGCTGCTACTGCTGCTGCTACTGCTGCTGCTACTGCTGCTACTGCTGCTGCTACTGCTAGTGCTGCTGCTGCTACTGCTGCTGCTGTTGCTACTGCTGTTGCTGCTACTGCTGCTGCTGCTACTGCTGCTACTGCCGCTGCTACTACTGCTGCTACTGCTGCTGCTGCTACTGTTGCTGCTGCTGCTACTGCTGCTGCTACTGCTGCTACTGCTGCTGCTACTACTGCTGCTGCTGCTACTGCTACTACTGCTGCTGCTACTGCTGCTGCTCCGTAGATATCTTTGGCGCGAAATACCCGGGGAACTGGCTAAACGGGATCATCATCCAAGTAACAAATCAACATAAACTAACAACTTAAAAAACTTTGGCCCCCTCCGGCAGACATGTTGGCCCAGAGTAGAGGACGTGGTTTTTTTTCTTTCTGCAATTATTTATTTTCTCGTCATATTTTAGTTTTTTTTTGCAGCTGGCAATGCCCCCGCTGAGATGTGTCTAGATTTTTTTTGGAAGCGCCGGCCTGCGTACAAATGAGTAGCTTATCACGTGGAAATTTACAGAGAAATTTAAAGCGTTATTAACCAGCTCAGACCCCGCTTGCTTGCCCATCGCCACATAAATCACCTCTGGCTGTAACAGCTCTCTCGCTCGTTCAGCAGTTCCGCTGCTGGATGATTTTTTTTCCTCCCGAGGACGACCGCTTGTGTTGCGATCGAAACGTCGTGATCTATTATTTTGTTTTGTTTTTCTACCTACGTGACTTTACCAAAAGAATCAAAGAGTGTAGCGGCCACGTACTTAAAAGGCATGTTGATTTCTCAATGCAGTGAGAAAAACCGGAGAAAACCAGAGAGAATTCCACGCGATCACAGGGAGAACACGCAAACTCCACATGTACAGCCGGTGTCAGGGTTTCGATCAAACTCACGACCTCCTGTATACCAGGCAAGGTGGTCAACATCTCCCAGGATCTGGAGATCGAATCCACGACCTCCTGTAGGCCAGGCGAGGTAGTCAACATCTCCCAATGTCTGGGATGGAACCCACGACCTCCTGTAGACCAGGCGAGGTAGTCAACATCTCTCATGCTAATCGAACCCACGACCTGTATACCAGGCGAGGTAGTTAACATCTCTCATGCTAATTGAACCCACGACCTCTTGTATACCAGGCGAGGTAGTCAACATCTCCCAGTGTCTGGGATGGAACCCACGACCTCTTGTAGACCAGGCGAGGTAGTCAACATCTCTCATGCTAATCGAACCCACGACCTCCTGTATACCAGGCTAGGTAGTCAACATCTCTCATGCTAATTGAACCCACGACCTCCTGTATACCAGGCGAGGTAGTTAACATCTCCTAGCCACCGTGGCGCCCCCATATTTACAGATTTGATTGCGACAACGTGTTACGACATCGGAGCAATGTCGTAAGTCTTGACCTCCGATGGTATTATTTTTCATAACTTCCGAGCGAATTACGGTTGTTGCCGTGGGCGCTTGTAAAGTTTGGGTGGTTCGTGAGTTAGTTGTGTTGTGCTATCAGGATTGTGAAAGCGTGTTTTGGGTTCTGAACGTATGCGTGTAATGTCTGGAAGCACGTGTTTGGAGTTAGTCATCCTCCCACTCTTCCTCGGCATACCAGCACCCAGAGCATGTTATGACATCGAAGCAACGTGACAATCTCTGTTTATGTTAAGATTTTTTTAGATTTGAAGCTTTCGTGACTGCAAGGATTCATATTCTTAGGTTTTTTTGGTAAAGTCACGTAGGTAAAACATTGAAATCACTTGATGCAGCAAATCTGGCTGTGACGGTCCCACCTGATGACGGAGACTTGTGTTGCCTCCGAAACGTCGTGATTTTTATTTTATTTTACTTTTATTAATTTCAATGTTTTACCTACGTGACTTTACCGAAAAAACCTAAGAATAAGATTGTTTTAGTTTGTTTTGTTACGAAACTCCCGAGCGAATCAGAGTTTCTGTCGTGGGCGTTTGTGAAGTTTTGTGGAATCTTGACGGAGAGCGGTCGGGGTGCGTGGGCTCTGCTCCCCGCACGAGCACTCAAGTGTCTGTGTGCGATGTCACAAATGTTTTCGCTGTAACTTCCTTCATTTATTTTTCACGAAGGTCCTCAGCGGGAAATTCTTGTAAAACGGCCATAAACATATAAAACCAATCGATCAAACTCACCTCATTCAGACGCTGTCTTTCCGACAGACCTGTTCGCTGTCTCCCCGACAGACCTGTTCTTCACCTGAGGACGGCTGCTTGCGTTGTGGCCGAAACGTCGTGAGATTTGTATTTTGTTATGTTTTATTTTTAGTATTTTATTATTTCCCTTCGACGTGACTGTTCGGTAAGGTCACGTAGAAGGGAAATAATAAAATAATAAAAATCAAACAATAAAATTCTCAGAAAATTTTGGAAACATTTTCTTGCTGTGGCTTTCACACCTGATGATGATTGCTTGTGTTGCAGTCGAAACGTCGTGAGAATTTGTATTGTTTTATATTTTTATTATTTTATTATTTCCCTTCTACGTGACTTTACCGAAAGAACCAAGAAGATGAATTTTTGCAGTCACAAAATCTTTAAATCTAAATTTCACCCCTATAAGGTGGGCCATGTCTGTACCACTGTCTTTGTGTCTGTGGCCATGCCTCGCGTCAATATCTTTGCCGATGTCGGTAGCCATTCATCTCTGTCTTTGTGCACCAGCTGTGAATACTCTGCCTGTTTTTTTGTTGTTGCTACGAACGGTGTGACCATGTGCGGTGTTGTCCGTGTCATGGGCACCATGTCCATGTCGTTACCATTAGCCGCATGTCTGCGTGTGTTTTCTGTGGCGAGCGGCAGTCAAGGTTCGCGCGATGTGCTGCGAATCTGGCGACCAGAGTTCGATTCCCGCTGGTGTCTATGTATGCATGTGTAGTCTATCATGGGGCGCTGTGGTGGTGAGATGTTAACTTCCTCGCCTGGTGTACAGGAGGTTGTGGGTTCGATTCAGACCCAGACGCCTGCTGCTGTATATCTGGAGTTTGCGTGTCTCTCTCTCATCATCATCATCACGGTGGCTAGGAGATGTTGACTACCTCGCCTGGTTTGCAGGAGGTCGTGGGTTTGATCCAGACCCAGACGCCTGCTGCTGTATATCTGGAGTTTGCGTGTCTCTCTCTCATCATCATCACGGTGGCTAGGAGATGTTAACTCCCTTGCCTGGTATTCGGGAGGTCGTGGGTTTGATTCCGACCAAGACGCCTGCTGCTGTATATTTGGAGTTTGCGTGTCTCTCTCTCTCATCATCATCACGGTGGCTAGGAGATGTTGACTACCTCGCCTGGTGTACAGGAGGTCGTGGGTTCGATCCCGACCCAGACGCCTGCTGCTGTATATCTGGAGTTTGCGTGTCTCTCTCTCTCATCATCATCACGGTGGCTAGGAGATGTTGACTACCTCGCCTGGTGTACAGGAGGTCGTGGGTTTGATCCAGACCCAGACGCCTGCTGCTGTATATCTGGAGTTTGCGTGTCTCTCTCATCATCATCGCGGTGGCTAGGAGATGTTAACTACCTCGCCTCGTGTACAGGAGGTCGTGGGTTCGATCCCGACCCAGATGCCTGCTGTATATTTGGAGTTTGCGTCTCTCTCTCATCATCATCACGGTGGCTAGGAGATGTTAACTACCTCGCCTGGTGTGCAGGAGGTCGTGGGTTTGATCCCGTCCCAGACGCCTGCTGCTGTATATCTGGAGTTGCGTGTGATCCCGGTAGTCATGCGGGTTTCTCTCCGGGTCCTCCAGTGTTTCCCCTCCACGTTTAGAAACACGGGTTTAGAGGATTTGGCTGCTATAATTTCAACATGATAAGCCACTTCGTTGAGCTATGTGATGACCCGGTCGCTTCTGAAAAAGAGCTACCATGTAGCTCACTCGGGCCTTTCCTGATAAAAACACATTCCTGCGGAGGGAGCTGGTAGGAACACGTTGGGTTGCTCGGTCAATGGCCTGCAGGGTCAACGGCGTCGTGGTGTATTCCGCAAATATGCCCGACTGTGAGGGCGGGCACAAGCCGGCGTGAGTAGGTTAAACGTTGAGTTTCATAAGGGCACCACGGGGTGACCAGCCCCTCCCCACCCCCTCCCCACCCAGCCCCACCCTCCCCACCCAGCCCCACCCTCCCCACCCAGCCCCTCCCCACCCTCCCCTCTCCACCCAGCCCGACCCCTCCCATTTTTGGATGCACGACGGACGGACGGACACAATAATCCCCTGTGGGCTGGTGGAACCAGGTGGTTCCTACCAGTAAAATCATGAGCTGTCTCTGTGTGTGTGTTATCTGTCTCATTAACCCCGTGTCTATGTCCGCTTGTGTAGTCTATCACGAGCTACGTCTTTGTGTGCGCGCGTGTGTTGTCATGCCTGTCTCAGTAACCCCGTGTCTGTGTGTGTAGTCTATCATGAGCGACGTCTTTGTGTGCGTGTGTGTGTCATGCCTGTCTCGGTAACCCCGTGTCTGTGTCTTTGCTCAGCCGTTGCAGGGGTCATCGGGGCTGTACCACCGGAGCGTGAGCGTACCGACCGGACCGGGAGGACCCTTATCCCCGCCGGAGCCATCGCGCCCACGCCATGGCCCCTTCCAGAGACAGGCCTCCTTGGCTCAGTCCATCCGAAGGTGCCGTCCGATTCCTTCTGCCGGACATCCGCTCGTCTGTCGCGGCCTCGCGGGGTGCCGGCTGTCTTGTGCCAACTCCAAACTCGAAGCGCAGTTTCTTTCTTCTTGGTTCTTTCGGTAAAGTCACGTAGAAGGGAAATAATAAAATAGAAAATATAAAACATAATAAAATAATTCTCACGACGTTTCGGCCACAACGCAAGCAGCCGTCCTCAGGTGAAGACCAGGTCTGTCGGGGAGACAGCGTCTGAATGAAACACCACCACGCTTGGAGCGTATATTTAAGCTGGGTTGGAAGGGGAAGAGCGCCTTGACAAAATAATTTGCATATCAAGAGGAATTTAGCATATTTATGGGAAATGCAGGTATGTGATTAGTACTACTTGTGAAATGCGTAGGAGGTTTGGCGGGGGGTTTAAAGTCATTATGCCCGTGCATTATGCAGGATTAGCAGCATCAAAGGGAGGGGATAGGGGTAGCATTAATAAAGGGAAGGAATGTTAATAGTATGTAGCTGCAGTAACTAAACAACCACGTAAGTTACAGCAGCAGAGGTTAGTGCATTTACAGCAGCAGAGGTTAGCGCAGTTTCTTTTTTGAACCAGGCAAGGCCCGCTGAACTACGTAGCTGTTTTTCCAAAGGGACTTGGCGATCACAAACGATAGCTCAACGAAGTGGCTTGTCATCGCTTGGAGATTCATAGCAGCCAAATAACTCCGAGCCAGAGGTCGCAAACGGGTTTTGATTCCTTACCCGTACCCGTATCCGGCCGCACCAGGGTCGCAAACGGGTACCGGTACCCGTACCCGGCTGGGTACGGGTAGCCGGGTATCAGGTAGGGTACGGGTATCGGGTATCCGATTGCGACCTCTGGGAAGAAGCCATGTTGCAGGCGCGGGTGGGTTGATTCTAGGAACTTGAATTGTGAGAAGAGAAAAGACGTTGGGAAATGAGTGACAAACGGTGACTCACCAGTGACTCACGGTCTACCCGTACCCGGCCGCACCAGGGTCGCAAACGGCTACCCGTACCCGGCCGGGTACGGGTAGCCAGGTATCGGGTAGGGTACGGGTATCGGGTACCCGGTTGCGATCTCTGCTCTGAGCGCACGTCGATTCTAAATGTGTCGGGGAAAAACCAGGGGACCTCTGGTCCCCAAGCGTTCTCGTTGAGAAGGCTTGCGAAATGTGGAGCCATCTTCTTGGTTCTTTCGGTAAAGTCACATAGAAGGGAAATAATAAAATAATAAAAATATAAAACAATAAAATTCTCACGACGTTTCGACTGCAACGCAAGCAATCATCATCAGGTGTGACAACCACAGCAAGATTTTTTTTCCAAAATTATCAGAAAATTTTTCCAATTCTTTTTGAGAATTTTATTGGTTTATTTTTATTCTTTTATTATTTGCTTTCTACGTGACCTTACCGAACAAACAGTCTAGTTTTTGGTTTAAATTTCGTGACTGCAGGGATTCATCTTCTTGGTTCTTTCGGTAAAGTCACGTAAAATGGAAAAAATTAAATAAAAAATAAAATAAAAATTAAAACGTAATAAAATAATTCTCACGACGTTTCGGCCACAACGCAAGCAGCCGTCCTCAGGTCGAGAACAGGTCTGTCGAGAGGACAGAGGACGGCTGCTTGCGTTGTGGCCGAAACGTCGTGAGAATTATTTTATTACGTTTTTATTATTTTATTCTTATAACATTTCACGTGACCTTACCGAAACAAACGGTCTAGTTTTGGTTTAGTTTGCTCCGCTCGGCTCGGGGAGAGATTGAATCGCTGACCGGCATCGGCGTGCCGCAGGGGGACGGCTGTGTGGTTCGGGGTGGACAAGGAGGGCGGCCCTGTGTCGCGCCAGCAGCGATGGCACCAGCGGAGCCTCCGCCACTGCAGCCAACGCTACGGACGCCTCAAGCCGGAGGTGCTGCGCGACCTGGAGCAGCCGAGCGGCAGCGAGCTGGGCTCCTTTGGCGGCATGGAAGTTCCCGCGCAGCAGATGCAGCGCATGCACAGGGTACGTACGCGTGCTAATCAGAGGTGCGGGGGAAGAATGTCTGATTGTGGGTCTCTGCGTGAGTCTATGGGTCTCTGTAGTGAGTCTATGGGTCTCTGTGTGAGTCTATGGGTCTCTGTAGTGAGTCTATGGGTCTCTGTGTGAGTCTGTGTGTCTCTGTAGTGAGTCTATGGGTCTCTGTGTGAGTCTATGGGTCTTTGTCTGATTCTATGGGTCTCTGCGTGAGTCTATGGGTCTATGTGTGAGTCTATGGGTCTCTGTGTTAGTTTATAGGTATCTGTGTGAGTCTATGGGTCTGCGTGAGTCTATGGGTCTTTGTGTGAGTCTATGGGTCTCTGGGTGAGTCTATGGGTCTTTGTGTGAGTCTATCGGTCTCTGTGTGAGTCTATGGGTCTCTGTGATTCTATGGGTATCTGTGTGAGTCTATGGATCTCCGCGTGAGTTTATGGGTCTATGTGTGAGTCTGTGTGTTTCTGTGTGAGTTTGTGTGTCTCTGTATGAGTTTATGGATCTCTGTAGTGAGTCTATGGGTCTCTGTGTGAGTCAATGGGTCTCTGCGTGAGTCTATGGGTCTTTGTGTGAGTCTATGGGTCTCTGTGTTGAACTTTGCATCTTTGTTCACGGCGATGAGCGTCGCTGCGCCACGAAACCCTACGACGCGCGTTTTCGATTCCCGCTCTCGGCTCGGCGATTGTCCGAACCGGTCCCGGGCCTCCCCTAGGTCGACTCGGCCTCGAATGAACGTGACGCCCCCACAGGTGGTGGACCCGCTGGCGCGAGGCCGTCAGTTCCGAGCGCCGGACGCGGAGTCGGAGGGCCTGCACGTGCCGTTCACCCCGCGCACCCCGCTGTCGCCCCGCACGCCGGGAGGCATTTCCCACGCCTCCTTCACCAGCTCGCGCTCCGCCATCGGCCGCATGCCCACGCGGCGCAAGCGCGAGTCCGTCGCCAAGATGAGCTTCAGGGCTGCGGCGCTGCTCGTGCGGGTGAGAGCAGTTCTGCCAGCGACAACCTCGGTCCCTACACCACTGAACCATAGCCCCTTACACCAGTGTGTTTACCGATGCCACCGCCGTGGTCTCAACTCCGAACGCGCCGATTGCGAATGTGCGTGTGAGCAGGGCCGCTCGCTGAGGGAGGCCAACCTCCTGCGGCCCCAGCTTGGCCGCCAAAGCTTCCCCAAGGCGAGCTTTGCCGAAGACGACACGGCCGACGAAGACCCAGACACCTCCTTCTTTAGCAAGGTGAGAGCTCCGGCTTGCTGGGAGGAGAGATCCTCACACGCCACGCCACGCGTGTCACCCACGCCACACACACACACACACGGCGCATGTGCCACGCACACACAGGCCACGCACACACACATGTCACACACACACACACACATGCCACATACACACAAGACACACACACGCCACGCGCGTCACACACGTCACACACACACGCCGCATGTGCCACGCACACACACGCCACACACACACACGTCACCCATGCCACGCACATATACGCCACACACACACCACACGCCACACGCGTCACCCACTCCACACACACACACGTCACCCATGCCACGCACATATACGCCACACACACACCACACGCCACACGCGTCACCCACTCCACACACACACACGTCACACATGCCACGCACACACACGCCACGCACACACATGCCACATATACACAAGACACACACACGCCACATACACACACGCCACGCACCCATACCAAACACACCATACACAACACACACAACACACACACACCAATACCACACATACACACCGCACACACAAACCAGGGTACCTGCTCATAGCCTGCTCATAGCCAACACCGTTGACGATGATTTCAACCAGGCCTGGGCCTCCCCTAGCCTTAAACGAGTACCTGGTGCGATGTGTACACGTAGACACTTGGGGAGACAAAGGCGGCCGGGCGTGGTGCTGGCCACCCACCCCCTCGTGTGTCGTGCTGGCCTTCATAGGTGCTCGCTAACAGCACTTGCCCCTACAGTCTGTTACAGGCTACACGGGGGATCTTTGTCTATCTTTGTGCGCGTGTGTGTGTGCACGTGTGTTTGCACGTGTGTGTGTGTGTGCGCGCGTGTGTGCGTGTGTGTGCACGTGTGTGCGTGTGTGTGTGTGCGTGTGTGCGCGTGTGTGTGTGCGTGTGTGCGCGTGTGTGTGCGCGCGTGTTTGTGTGTGTGTGCGCGTGTTTGTGTGTGTGTGCGCGTGTTTGTGTGTGTGTGTGCGTGTGTGTGTATGTGCGCGTGTGTGTATGTGTGTGTGCGCGTGTGTGTGTGCGCGTGTGTGTGCGTGTGTGCACGTGTGCGTGTGTGTGTACGTGTGTGTGTGTGTGTGTGCGCGTGCGGTGCGATGCTGCCCGGCGCCAGTACGGCGCGTTTTACGAGGACGTCACCCTGCCAGACGAGGTGTTCGAGTCTCCGCCCGACTCGGCCGTTCCCCAGGGGGCTCCCGCGGGTGCCCTCCCCAGCGCAGACGCGGCCAAGCAGGCGGTCAAGCCGCCCGTCCTGTACGTTCAGTCCCAGGGGCCGTGCCCCTCTGGCCCTACGCGAAACACGGGGGGGGGGCGGGTGGGTGAGGGGGGGGGGGTCACAATAGCTAAGGTTGCTGGCAGCGGTGAGAGGCCAGCGCTGCGCCGTTATTGTGATTTTGCAATGTTTTATAATAATAACACTGGTCAACACACTTTTTCTGGCATAAGGTATTCCAACGGTTTTAAGGTTATTTTGGGGTGCTGATTCCAAATCTGGCATCAGTTTTTGTCTATCAGGTTTTTGAGATATCAAATACTGCATTTTCAATAAAAACTGCAGAAGAAAAATATTAAATAAATGTGGATATCTACATAAACTGATATTATAAACACACTATCCTAAAAATACAGCACCATATTTTATCACTAAAGCAGTCACTGACTCGCAACAACTTGCAATCATAAGTGACAGAGTTAATTTCGGGTAAAATCAATGAAAATGGGGTATGCCGATAGCATAAAAATGAGATGTGATAGAGCAAATCTGAGATCAGATTTGGAATCGGCACCCTGAAATTAGTCTAGAACAGCTGCAAAAGTCCAGGCCAGAAAAAAATGTTTTTTTTTTGTTGACCGCTGTGAAAAAAAAAAGTGTCACGTTGACAAAAGACAAATAGTTCACTACTTTAGCCCACCGGTGTGTTGAAGAGTGAAACCACAACATTTACAATGTTTGAGTAGCACGACGTTTCGCTGGTAATTACATCCAGCAATCATCGTGCAATTTTCCAGAATAGTGAGGCCCCCCTTCAACTATTCTAACCCAACAACGTTTATTATGAATAATATTGGTCGCGAAAGCTTACGTGTTAAACTTATAATAATAACAATTTCGTATTGCGTCATTCATGCAAATTGCATCTCACAACGCTGCACACCAATTAGCCAGTCCCTTACACGTGCAATTAAGGTCGTGGAAGCAACTTCTGGAACCCGGTCTTTATTTGCCTTTCTTTTAAAACATTCCTTCGCGCTGCTGACAGACAGCGTGAGAACGAACGGAGGGTGAGGCCACGCTGGAGAGGGGTCCAGGCTGCCACGTGGTCCAGGCTGCCACGTGGTCCAGGCTGCCACGTGGTCCAGGCTGCCACGTGGTCCAGGCTGCCACGTGGCCACGCGTGTCTCTCTCTCCCTCTCACGCTGTCTGACAGTAAGATAGGAGTGTTGTAAAAGATGATACAAAAAATTAACCCGTAAAAACAAAGTTTTTCACTATAAATACTTTATATGCGTGGCGGCTAGAGTCCTCTGGCTTGTGATGGCTGCCACCTATGGGTCAGATGATTGTCTGGCAGCATTAAGCAATTGGTAATTAAATATTTTTTTTTTCCCCTAAACAGTGTAAAATTTAGGAATTTTTTTTTCACGAAAATGCATTGTCACGCACAACGAGTCTGTGTGCAAAATGTCAGCTCGATTGGATCACAGGAAGTGGGTTAAAAAACGACCGAAAGATTTGCACGGTCCTAAGCAAGCAAGCAAGTGAACTTAATATAAAGGATTTAATAAGTATAACCCGTAAAAACAAAGTTTTTCACTCTAAATCCTTTATATGTGTGGCGGCTAGAGTCCTCTCGTCCTCTGGCTTGAGATGGCTGCCACCTATGGGTCAGATGATTGTCTGCCAGTATTAAGCAATTGGTAATTAAATATTTAATTTGTTTTCCCTAAACAGTGTAAAATTTTGGAAAAAAAAATTCACGAACATTAATTGTCTCGCACAACGAGTCTGTGTGCAAAATGTCAGCTCGATTGGATCACGGGAAGTGGGTTAAAAAACGATCGAAAGATTTGCACGGTCCTAAGCAAGCAAGCAAGTGAACTTAATATAAAGGATTTAAAAACAAAATCCCCAACTGCTTAGCAGGCTTTTGTAAATCCACTGCTGGATGAAGGCCTTCCCCACGTGGTCTCTCCGTCATCGTCGTCACCATCACGACGACGGTTGTTTGACCCGTGCTTCACCGCGCTGGTCAGATTTCGCGTGCCGGGACCAGGACCGGTTTCAGATTTCGCGTGCCACCGACGATTACACCGTGGCCGCTGTTATACGATGAAATCGGGACATCCGTCAAAATCTTTCGTGGCGTTGTGGGTCGTGAACCTGAGCTTAATTGTGTCGATTCAGCTCGGTCGATCCGGCAGTCGCTCAAAGTTGATCGGTCAGCCATCTTAAAAATGTTGATTCGTCGGCAATTTATTCATTGGCAAGCAATGCTTGGATCGAGTAGTCATGTGACACGTCCCCCAACCCCCCATTCATTTGAATGGCTAATATCAGCAAGATCGGTGATTCCGTCGCACTCCGCTTTTATAGTACCACAGCGCACCACCGGCACATGTGAGCCGTGCCAGCGCGGTGGCCGGGGCGGGGGGGAGGATGACCGGCACGGCACAGGTGGTTTTCCACTGGCTACTTGCCGAGTCGAGCCGGAGCCAAAACATGACACTCTGCTCTCAACGTATTTATCCACGATCCTTTGTGTGCTTTCTTACGTTTGCTGTGTCCCCTGCCTGTACACCCCCCCTCTCGCACATCCCTTGATTCCGAATCTGCCGTAGGCCCATGGCTGTGGGCTGGCGTAAGGAAACTCCGGGCGGAAAAAGTTTTACAAAACTTGGCGTCGGCGACCCTTCTCACCGCTTGCAGCAAGATGTTGTACCGGGCCTCGCTTTCCAGGTGCGGTCGGGGCGGTTGGTGCGGTTTGGTTGGTGAGGTTGGGTTGATCAGGGTGGTTGGGGTGGTTGGTGCGGTTGGGTTGGTGAAGTTGGGTTGATCAGGGTGGTTGGGGTGGTTGGTGCGGTTGGGTTGGGGAGGTTGGGTTGATCAGGGTGGTTGAGGTGGTTGGTGCGGTTGGGTTGGTGAAGTTGGGTTGATCAGGGTGGTTGAGGTGGTTGGTGCGGTTGGGTTGGGGAGGTTGGGTTGATCAGGGTGGTTGGGGTGGTTGGTGCGGTTGGGTTGGGGAAGTTGGGTTGATCAGGGTGGTTGGGGTGGTTGGTGCGGTTGGGTTGGGGAAGTTGGGTTGATCAGGGTGGTTGAGGTGGTTGGTGCGGTCTGGGCGGTTCATGCGGTCTGGGTGGTTGGGTTGGGTTTGGGAGGTTGGGTCAATTAGGGTGGTTGGGGTGGTTGAGGTGGTTCGTGCGGTCTGGGTGGTTGGGTTGGGTTTGGGAGGTTGGGTCAATCAGGGTGGTTGAAGTGGTTGAAGTGGTTGAAGTGGTTGGTGTGGTTGGGTTGGGGAGTTTGGGTGGGTTTGATAGGTTGGGTCAATCAGGGTGGTTGGGGCGGTGGGGGCGGTGGGTGCGGTTTGTGCGGTGGGGGCGGTGGGTGCGGTTTGTGCGGTGGGGGCGGTGGGTGCGGTTTGTGCGGTGGGGGCGGTGGGGGCGGTGGAGGCGGTTGGTGCGGTGGATGCGGTTGGGGCGGTTGGGTTGATTGGGGCAGCCGGTGTCGTTTGGATTGTTGGTGCCATTGGGTCAATTGGGGCGATTGGGGATGTTGGTGCGGTTAGCGCATGACCGAGAAACAGTGGGGATGGGTGGCGGGGAGAATGGAGCTTGACCTCTGGATTGCAAGTCCGGCTTGCTGACCTCTACACCGCAGCAGCAGCATCGGCATCCCTCGCATCACTTCCCGACGTTCCACCTCCGCGCAGGCGAAACGCGGCCACAAGCTGGACCCGAAGCTGCGCCGCCTGGTGCAGCGCAGCGCCAAGCGCAAGTACGGCCTGGGCGTCGTGGGAAAATGGCTCAACCGCAAGTACCGCACCCGGCGGCTGGACAGCTACGTGCAGCGCCAGATCGACGACATGGTTGACCACCGGTGAGTGGGTGGGTGGTGGTGCCAGCGCGCGCGCGCGGTATCGTTCGCGTTTCGTTGACGAAATCGGCGACACGTATCCCTCGACTGGGAGACAGCGAATTATCGGCAGGCGCGTGACGGTGACGGCAAACTGAAGCTACGTGAAGTGACGTGACGTGACGTGTAGTATATTGTTGGTTCTTTCGGTAAAGTCACGTAGAAGGGAAATAATAAAATAATAAAAATATAAAACAATAAAAACTCTCACGATGTTTCGACTGCAACACAAGCAACCGTCATCAGGTGTGAAATCCACGGTGACGTGTAGTATATTGTTGGTTCTTTCGGTAAAGTCACGTAGAAGGGAAATAATAAAATAATAAAAATATAAAACAATAAAAACTCTCACGATGTTTCGACTGCAACACAAGCAACCGTCATCAGGTGTGAAATCCACGGTGACGTGTAGTGGCGGTGACGTGACATGTAGTTATATTCTTGGTTCTTTCGGTAAAGTCACGTAGAAGGGAAATAATAAAATAACGAAATAATAAAAATTCTCACGACGTTTCGGCTGCAACACAAGCAACCGTCATCAGCTGTGAAATCCACGGTGACGTGTAGTGGCGGTGACGTGACGTGAAGTGACGAACGGAGACGCGGGCGCTTGGATAATCGAGCGATGCGATCGGAAACCCGACTTTGATTCCCACTCGCGGCCTCCCACCCCCTCGTGCGCCCGTGCCAAACCTTCACAGGTGCTCGCTAACGCAAAGCCTGGCGGTGGCCATACGGGCGGTGACCTTTGTCCGCGTGTGTGTCCCGGCAGGCCGTATTTCACCTACTGGCTGACGTCCGTGCACGTGCTCATCACGCTGCTCTCCGTGTGCATCTACGGCATCGCCCCCATCGGCTTCGCGCAGCACGAGGAGCAGGAGAGCGTGAGTAGCGCGCTAACTGCTCCACTCCCGCACCACGCGCCACGCGCACGAAGCACGCCAACAAAACACAACGATTCCCCCGTGTCGCCTTGACAGACTGTAGGGGCAAGTGCTGTTAGCGAGCACCTATGAAGGCCAGAACGGCACACGAGGGGGTGGGTGGCCAGCACCACACCCAGCCACCTTTGTCTCCAACGGTGGCGATGTTTACACACCGCACCAGGTACTCGTTTGAGGCTGAGTCGACCTAAAGGAGGCCCAGGACCGGTTCAGATAATCGTCACTGGTGTTGGCCGTGAGCGGGAATCGAACTCGTGTCGCCGGGTTCATAGCGCAGCGCGCTAACCGTTGCACCACCGCTCCCCACTATACAAAGACAAAGATCCCCAGTATAGCCTTAACAGACTGTAGGGGCAAGTGCTGTTAGCGAGCACCTATGAAGGCCGGAACGGCACACGAGGGGGTGGGTGGCCAGCACCACGCCCGACCGCCTTTGTCTCCCCAGTGGCGATGTTTACACACCGCACCAGGTACTCGTTTGAGGCTGAGTCGACCTAAAGGAGGCCCAGGACCGGTTCAAATAATCGTCACTGGTGTTGGCCGTGAGCCGGAATTGAACCCGGGTCGCCGGGTTCATAGCGCAGCGCGCTAACTGCTGCACCACCGCTCCCCACTATACACACACATATATACAGACACACATACAAAGACACACACTCACACATATCAACAACAACAACAACAACCGCCATTCGCCACTAAGTGGCGGTGACGTCACCACGACGCTTGTGCCAGGCCAAGTGCACCTCGAGGCCACGTGAAGTGTCGAACGACCCGCTGGCATATACACATATACACAGACACACATACAAAGACACACACTCACAAATATCAACAACAACAACCGCCATTCGCCACCAAGTGGCGAATGCTTAAGGGTGGGTGTGGGGGGACGGGCATACAAAAAATCTGTTGGCGGTGCGGGGAGCGAGCGAGCGAACGTGCGCGGGGCCCTTCCCCCATCCCTCATCTCGCGGCTCGGGCACCGGCTCTGGCTCAAGCCGACTCGTCTGATTGCGCTGCCGGTGTGTGCCGCCGCAGGTGTTGAGGAACAAGGGCGTGTACGAGATCGTCAAGTACGTGCAGCAGGAGAACTTCTGGATCGGCCCCAGCTCGGTACGGGCGCGCCGCGGCCGCCGGCTCGTTGAACGCCGCGATCTGCGTGCGTCACGCGCCGAGAGGCGTCGCGTCGGGGAGAGATGCGCGTCCCGGCGCCCGCACGCGCTCTGCCGCCTTGCGGATACGCGCGTGTGCGGCCCACGTTGTGTGTGTGTGTGCGTACAGCATGCATGTTGAGCTTCTTTCGCGCCGTACGTAGCCAATCGGAGAGGTACAGGAGGTCTCGATTTAAAGCTTTCGTGACTGCAGGGATTCATCTTCTTGGTTCTTTCGGTAAAGTCACGTAGAAGGGAAGTAATAAAATAATAAAAATGAAACATCGTAAAATACAATTCCCTTCCTTAGGCCCCTCCCCTGACTCCCCCCTTCCTTAGGCCCCTCCCCTCTCCGTACCTGGCAGTAGGTCTCCACCAATCAAAGAGCAGTTTGTATTATATATTAATTTATGCACGACAAACAGTCAGACAGACAAATAATCCCTGGTGGGCAGTGTGGAACATTGTTCCTACCTGTATTATTGCTTCGTTAACCCATCACTGCCCTACGTACGGCCAATTAGCGGGGTTTGCCACGTAAACAAAAACCGTGCCAGCTACTTAACTTCAGGTGGTGTGTGTGGCGTGCTGGAGAGAGCAAACCCAACAACGTTTACAATTCGAAACGGCCGCGACGTTTCGCTGGCGATTACAGCCACCAGCTGTCACCGGGCGATTTTGCCAGAATTGCCTCTCGTACCACCCTCACCCCCCGCGTACCCACGCGTGCGTTCCCCGTCGCGTGCTCAGGACGATCTCATCCACCTGGGCGCCAAGTTCTCCCCGTGCATGCGGAGAGACGCTCAGGTGAGCGCTCGCATCGCCCAGGAGCGCAGCCGCGAGAACGTCACCGGCTGCTGCGTCCGCAACGACGGCTCGGGCTGCGTGCAGATGGTGCGAGAAGACTGCTCGGTGAGGACGGCAACAACAACAACAACGACAGCAACAACAACAACAACGACAACTCAACAGGGATAAGACGTGTGGTGTTGAAGCTTGTGGGGGAAAGCGCTTTTGCCGCGCAGGAACGAAGGGCTGAAGTTTAATCCCTTTCTCCCCCCCCCCCCCCACACACCCCACCCACATCCGAGGCTCAGGTTCCTCTAAGCCAGGGGTCGGGAACCTTTTTGCCTGGGAGAGCCGTAAAAGCCAAATATTTCTAAATATATTTCATTGAGAGCCATATAGTATTTGTAACGTATAATAAATTAAATATGTCTTACTTTTAATGCGACTTCTGGCGCTGCGTGGTTTTGCTGATGGCCTTGTAGTCTGGTTCGTACGACGTGGTGAGGTTGAGCTTCGTGCAGGCGTGACCCGTGAAATTTATCTTCAAAACTAATTTCTGTTTACTTTAAAATGACACAAATATTATTAAGTAATATCACAAGTATTTTAAAATCAGTTCCAAAGTGATTTTTTATTATTTATTTTTCTAAATTGTCTGGGAGCCATATGCCGTCACTGGAAGAGCCATGTATGGCTCGCCAGCCATATATGGCTCGCCAGCCATATATGGCTCGCGAGCCATAGGTTCCCGACCGCTGCTCTAAGCCGTGGTAATAATATTAGTGGAGTAGTTGTGGGCTTTCACCACCGACATTATGCATGACCACGCCGGTCGCACGCGGCTTGCGTTACTTCGCTGCGGTCCCGTCAAGCCCATGTCATACTCCCGTCCATCGACAACTTGAGCAGCACGTTTCATTTAAATTGTGCGTGGCGTGTGTGCGTGGTGTGTGTGTGTGTATGTATGTTGAACCTCTTTCGCGCGCCGTACGTAGCTAATTGGAGGTGCGGGGGAAGGACGACAAATTATGGTGTGCGTGTGATGTGTGGCACGCTTGTGGTGTGTGCATGATGGCGTGTCTGGTGTGTGTGTGCGGTGACGTGTGTGTGAGTGCGCGTGCGTGGCGTGTGTGACGTGAATGTGTGCGGTATGTGTAGTGTGTGCGTGTAGTGTATATGGGGTGTGGTGTATGTGGTGCGTGTGTGCGTTGCCCATGGCATGTGTAGTGTGCGTGTAGTGTGTATGGGTTGTGGTGTATGTGGTGCGTGTGTGCGTTGCCCATGGTATGTGTAGTGTGTGCGTGTAGTGTGTATGGGTTGTGGTGTATGTGGTGCGTGTGTGCGTTGCCCATGGTATGTGTAGTGTGTGCGTGTAGTGTGTATGGGGTGTGGTGTATGTGGTGCGTGTGTGCGTTGCCCATGGCATGTGGTGTACGCGTGTAGTGTATATGGGGTGTGGTGTATGTGGTGCGTGTGTGCGTTGCCCATGGCATGTGGTGTACGCGTGTAGTGTGTATGGGGTGTGGTGTATGTGGTGCGTGTGTGCGTTGCCCATGGCATGTGGTGTACGCGTGTAGTGTATATGGGGTGTGGTGTATGTGGTGCGTGTGTGCGTTGCCCATGGCATGTGGTGTACGCGTGGTGCGCTATACGCGGTGTATGCGGTGCGTGGCTGTGATTCGACAGGAGACGCTTTCCACGTGGATCAAGTGGCCCAGGTACAACCCTCCGGCGCTGCAGGGAAGCCCCCGCACGTCCGGCGCCGTGTGTGGACAGCAACCAGAGTACGGCACGCGACGGTGCACGCTCACTCAGTCACTCCACACACACGCACACACACGCACACACACACGCTCACCCCACACACACACACTCATACACACACACGCGCACACACACTCACATACACGCTCACCCCACACACACACACTCATACACACACACGCTCACCCACGCACACCCACCTCTACCCAGTCACCCCACACACACACACACTCACCCCACACACACACACTCACCCCACACATACACACACGCTCACCCCACACACACACACTCACCCCACATACACACACACGCTCACCCCACACACACACACTCACCCCACATACACACACACGCTCACCCCACACACACACACGCTCACCCCACACACACACACACTCATCCCACACACACACACACGCTCACCCACGCACAAACACCGCTACCCAGTCACCCCACACACACGCACACACGCTCACCCCACACACACACACACACGCTCACCCCACACACACACACGCTCACCCCACACACACACAGGCTCACCCACGCACACCCACCTCTACCCAGTCACCCCACACACACACACACACACGCTGACCCCACACACACACACACACATGCCCACTTGCAGCTCACCCACGCACACCTCAATGTCGCTGTCTCCCTGCCTGTTGATCTCAGTGTCTCTGTCTCTCCGTGTGTCTATCTCAGTGGCTCTTGTCCATTGATCTTGGTGTCTCTAACTCTGTCTGTCTGTCCATGTCTCTTGCAGACTGTGTGAGGAACCAGCCTCGACTCCACCGCACGAATGGCCTGATGACATCACCAAGTGGCCTGTAAGTGGACACCCGCCAACACATGTATACACACGTGTGTACACACACACACGTGCGCACACAAACACGTGTGTACACACACACACACATGTGTACACACACACGTGTACACATGTGTGTGTGTGTGTACACACACGTGTGTACACACACACACACGTGTGCACTGACACACACACACACACACGTGTGTACACACACACACATACACGCGCGCACCGACACACACACACACACGTGCGTACACACACTTGACAAAGATCCTCCTGGTAGCCTTAACAGACTGTAGGGGCAAGTGCTGTTAGCGCGCAGCACCTATGAAGGCCGGCACGGCACACGAGGGGGTGGGTGGCCAGCACCACGCCCTACCGCTTTTATCTCCCGAGTGGAAATGTTTACGCACCGCACCAGGTACCCATTTGAGCCCGGGACCAGTTCAGATAATCGTCACTGCTGTTTGTGGCTGTGGCCAGGAATCGAATTCGGGTGGCAAGGTTCGTAGCGCAGCGTGTTAACCGCTGCACCACCGCTCCTCTTGTACATTCAGTTCAGTTTATTTATTTAGGTGTAGCCCTGTGAGCCACGTGGCTCTTGACTCGGGTGCAACCGCAACAAACAAAAACATGAACAAGAAACATCTTCAAGTGACTTCGCGCAAACAGAAAAATCCAGGAAAAAACTGCAAAGTCTTCCAGAAAAAGCACCGTTTATCAACGCTGTGTGCAAAAATCCCAGTGGGATGCAAGTCAAATAATAACCATAAGACAATTTAGATTAAAGTTATCAGTCTAACTTTGTACAACAAATAAATATGGCTAAATTTTGATTTAAAGCTTTCGTGACTGCAGGGATTCATCTTCTTGGTTCTTTCGGTAAAGTGACGTAGAAGGGAAATAATAAAAGAATAAAAATAAAACAATAAAATAATTCTCACGACGTTTCCTCTTGATATGCAAATTCCTTTGTCAAGGCGCTCTTCCCCCTCCAACCCAGCTTAAATATACACTGCCAAGCCTGGTGGTGTTCAATCGGACGCTGTCTTTCCGACAGACCTGTTCTTCACCTGAAGACGGCTGCTTGCGTTGTGGCCGAAACGTCGTGAGAATTATTGTATTTTATTATCTTTTATTTTTATTATTTTATTATTTCCCTTCTACGTGACTTTACCGAAAGAACCAAGAAATATGGCTAAACCGAAACGTTTTCGAAATCACCAAAATAAAGCTATAAAACAACGTAACAGTGATCATAGAAACTGTGATTCAAATTTAACAATAAACGATATATACATAAACATGCACGACCAAACTTTGCAGCCATAGCTGGCAGCATGAGTCACTCCATAACAGCAGCAGGAGTATCAGTAGGAGTATCAACATTTTTCAATGCACCTTTCAATGCACACACACACACACGTACGTGCGTTAATGTAAATGTGTCGGTAAACCCGCAACCACTAGACACAGCCAATTAGTAAGGTTTGTCACGTAAACAGAACGTGCCAATTCGTTACTAGTACAGCACACCGGTTTGCGTGTTGGAGAGTAAAACCACTACGTTTACAATTGGAGTACCGTGCCGTTTCACCAGTAATTACAACAACAACCAGCATCATGAGGCCACAGCCACAGCCACAGAGTTGTGGCGAAATTTTTGACAGCGTTGCGTAGACGCATGTTCGCGCACAAGGTCACGGATAAAGATGTCAATGAATGAATTTCGATTTAAAGCTTTCGTGACTGCAGGGATTCATCTTCTTGGTTCTTTCGGTAAAGTCACGTAGAATGGAAACAATAAAAATAATAAAATAAAACATAATAAAATAATTCTCACGACGTTTCGGCCACAACGCAAGCAGCCGTCCTCAGGTGAAGAAACAGGTCTTGCTGGTCACCCCATTCTACGTGACTTTACCGAAAGAACCAAGAAGATGTATGAATGAATGAACTTGCATGGATATCGCGCGACGAACACACTCCACTCATCTTCTTGGTTCTGTCGGTAAAGTCACGTAGAAGGGAAGTAATAAAATAATAAAAATAAAACAATAAAAAACATAATAAAATAAAATATAATAAAAAATAATAATAAAAAAATATAATAAAATAAATTTTATTATGTTTTATTTTTATTATTTTATTACTTCCCTTCTACGTGACTTTACCGAAAGAACCAAGAAGATGAATCCCTGCAGTCACGAAAACTTTAAATCAAAACACTCCACTCACTCACATCGCAGAACAAGTACAGAACACACAAACTCCACTCACTCGCACCCTACAGACACGTGGCCAAGCGAGTACAAACTCTAAACACAGAGTCGCGCGCGTCACCGACTGCCGTCGTTACCGCGCCCTGCCGCGAATTTCCCTCCCCCCCCCCCCCCCCATTTCCCGTTTCCCCTCCGCATTGCAGATCTGCACTAAGAAGTCGGGCGCGAACAGGACAAGCGTCACGCACATGGACTGCACGGTGACCGGCCACCCTTGCTGCATCGGAACCAAGGGCAGGCGAGTGAATTGGCCAGTCGGTCGCGATGTCGGTGCGACCGCAGGGAGCTAACATACGCGCTCGTTAAGTCTGTGTGGCTTACGGGAGGAGGGGCGTGGGGCAGGTTGGCTTTGTGTCTGTGTGTGTTTGGGGGGGGGGAGCGGTGGCCGGATCGAGGGGGGCTAAACTGGCGCGGCACGGGCTAGAGAAGAGATGGAGTGATGTGGTACAGGAGAACGTGGAGCTGAGTGGACTGGCCGATGACTGGTACCAGCGGTGTCAAGGTCGGCCTCTGTGGAGGAGGCTCGTGAAGGACGCTACTGGGCAGTTGGAGGCAGTCGCCCTCCAACAACAACGGAGGGCGGAGAAGCGACGCTCACAACAACGAGCGGAGCGCCGGGTGGCTAAAGCACAGCAAGTTGGTACAGTAGGGGGCACAGGTGGTGCATCAGCCAGTCATCTCGGTCATCTCAGTCAGTCGACCCGTGGCACCTGGGTCTGCCCTGTGACCTCCTGCCAGCGGGCGTTCGACACTTCACGTGGCCTCAAGGTGCACGTGGCCTGGCACAAGCGTCGTGGTGACGTCACCGCCACTGAGTGGCGAATGGCGGTTGTTGTTGTTGTTGCGGTGGTGGTGTAACGGTTAGCGCTACGAACCCCCGCTCACGGCCAACATCGATGGCGAATATCCGAACCGGTCCTGGGCGTCCCCTAGGTCGCTTTGGCCTCAAATGAGCACCTGGCGCGGTGGTGTGTGAACATCTCCACTCGGGAGACAAAGTGCGTCCGGGCGTGATGCTGGCCACCCCCACCGCCTTGTGTGCAGTGCCGGCCCTCATAGGTTCTGCAACTCGCTAACAGCATCTTCTTGGTTCTTTCGGTAAAGTCACGTAGAAGGGAAGTAATACAATAATACAAATAAAACATAATAAAATATGTTATATTTTTATTATTTTATTATTATTGGTTCTTTCGGTAAAGTCACGTAGAAGGGAAGTAATAAAAGAATAAAAATAAAACATAATGCAATATCTTCTTGGTTCTTTCGGTAAAGTTACGTGACTTTACCGAAAGAACCAAGAAGATGAAACCCTGCAGTCACGAAAGCTTTAAATCGAAATGTAATATTTATTATGTTTTATTTTTATTATTTTATTAGTAATACAATAATAAAGTAATACAATAATAAAAATAAAACATAATAAAACATAATAAAATATTTGTATTTTTATTATTTTATTACTTCCCTTCTACGTGATGACTTTACCGAAAGAACCAAGAAGATGAATCCCTGCAGTCACGAAAGCTTTAAATCGCTAACAGCACTTTGCCCCAAACAGTCTGTCAAGGCTACCACGGGGGAATCATCTTTTGTCCTCTGTCTTCCCGCAGCTGTGAGATCACATCGCGCGAGTACTGCGTTTTCATGCATGGACATTTCCACGAATCGGCGACGCTCTGCTCCCAGGCAAGTTTCATCGTCCCTGCCCTTCCGTCGCCTGGCCAAGGATGGGGGGGGGGGGTGGCCCCCCAGTGGCCCCCCAGTGGCCCCCCAAAGTGGCCACTGTCCCCCCACGCAGCCCCCACGTGCGGTGTTTGTTTGCCGTGCGCGTAATCCCATGTTCTTGGTTCTTTCGGTAAAGTCACGTAGAATGGGAAGTAATAAAATAAAAAAAATAAAACATGATAAAATAATTCTCACGACGTTTCGGCCACAACGCAAGTAGCTGTCTCCTCGACAGACCTGGTTTTCCACCTGAGGACGGCTGCTTGCGTTGTGGCCGAAACGTCGTGAGAGTTATTTTGTTATGTTTTATTTTTATTGTTTTATTACTTCCCTTCTACGTGACTTTACCGAAAGAACCAAGAAGATGAATCCCTGCAGTCACGAAAGCTTTAAAATTATTTTATGTTTTATTTTTATTATTTTATTATTTCCCTTCTACGTGACTTTACCGAAAGAATCAAGAAGATGAATCCCTGCAGTCACGAAAGCTTTAAAATTATTTTATGTTTTATTTTTATTATTTTATTATTTCCCTCCCACGTGACTTTACCGAAAGAACCAAGAAGATGAATCCCTGCAGTCACGAAAGCTTTAAAATTATTTTATGTTTTATTTTTATTATTTTATTATTTCCCTCCCACGTGACTTTACCGAAAGAATCAAGAAGATGAATCCCTGCAGTCACGAAAGCTTTAAACGCGTAATCCCAATCGAGTAATTTTACGGATGCATTTGTTGACGACGTTACGATTCGTGTTTTGCGAATGGGAGACCCGAAAGCTGCATGTTAAGATGCTGTTGTTCTTGTTTGTGTGGCTTCTTGCAGGTGCACTGCATGGATGATGTGTGTGGCCTCCTGCCCTTCCTCAACCCCGAGGTCCCAGACCAGTTCTACAGACTCTGGCTGTCGCTCTTCCTGCACGCCGGGTACACTTTAACCACAATACCACTCGTCAAGCAGCATGAACCATGAACCATGCCGACATCGGTCATCCTCGCAGTGGCGGCTTCTGGCTGGCCATCGAACAAAGACGGTCACCGCATCGTGCCCCTTCTGCGGCCGTCTGGAATGCTCTTCTATTAGAAGACACTGGGAGCTATGCAATTTTAAATCTGTGTCCCCCGTGTGTCCCCCGTGTCCCACCCCGCGTGACACCCCGTGTCCCACCCCGTGTGACACCCCCGCGTGACACCCCGTGTCCCACCCCCGCGTGTCCCCCGTGTCCCACCCCGCGTGACACCCCGTGTCCCACCCCGCGTGTCCCCCGTGTCCCACCCCGCGTGACACCCCGTGTCCCACCCCGTGTGTCCCCCGTGTCCCACCCCGTGTGACACCCCCGTGTCCCACCCTGTGTCCCACCCTGTGTCCCACCCCGTGTCCCACCCCGCGTGACACCCCGTGTCCCACCCCGTGTGACACCCCGCGTGACACCCCGTGTCCCCACCCCGCGTGTCCCCCGTGTCCCACCCCGCGTGACACCCCGTGTCCCACCCCGCGTGTCCCCCGTGTCCCACCCCGCGTGACACCCCGTGTCCCACCCCGTGTGTCCCCCGTGTCCCACCCCGTGTGACACCCCGTGTCCCACCCTGTGTCCCACCCTGTGTCCCACCCCGTGTCCCACCCCGCGTGACACCCCGTGTCCCACCCCGCGTGTCCCCCGTGTCCCACCCCGCGTGTCCCCCCGTGTCCCACCCCGTGTCCCACCCCGCGTGTCCCCCCGTGTCCCACCCCGTGTCCCACCCCGCGTGTCCCCCGTGTCCCACCCCGTGTCCCACCCCGTGTGACACCCGTGTCCCACCCCGTGTGTCCCCCCGTGTCCCACCCCGCGTGTCCCCCGTGTCCCACCCCGCGTGACACCCCGTGTCCCACCCCGCGTGTCCCCCCGTGTCCCACCCCGCGTGACACCCCGTGTCCCACCCCGTGTGTCCCCCCGTGTCCCACCCCGCGTGACACCCCCGTGTCCCACCCCGTGTGTCCCCCCGTGTCCCACCCCGCGTGACACCCGTGTCCCACCCCGCGTGACACCCCGTTGTCCCACCCCGCGTGTCCCCCGTGTCCCACCCCGCGTGACACCCCGTGTCCCACCCCGCGTGTCCCACCCCGTGTGTCCCCCCGTGTCCCACCCCGCGTGACCACCCCGTGTCCCACCCCGCGTGTCCCCCGTGTCCCACCCCGCGTGTCACCCCGTGTCCCACCCCGCGTGTCCCCCCGTGTCCCAACCCCGCGTGTCCCCCGTGTCCCACCCCGTGTGTCCCCCGTGTCCCACCCCGCGTGACACCCCGTGTCCCACCCCGCGTGTCCCCCCGTGTCCCACCCCGCGTGACACCCCGTGTCCCACCCCGCGTGTCCCCCCGTGTCCCACACCCGCGTGACACCCGTGTCCACCCCGCGGTCCCCCGTGTCCCACCCCGTGTGACACCCGTGTCCCACCCTGTGTCCCACCCTGTGTCCCACCCCGTGTCCCACCCCGCGTGACACCCCGTGTCCCACCCCGCGTGTCCCCCGTGTCCCACCCCGCGTGTCCCCCCGTGTGACACCCCGTGTCCCACCCCGCGTGTCCCCGTGTCCCCACCCCGCGTGTCCCCCCGTGTCCCACCCCGTGTCCCCACCCCGCGTGTCCCCCCGTGTCCCACCCCGCGTGTCCCCCCGTGTCCCACCCCGCGTCCCACCCCGCGTGTCCCCCGTGTCCCACCCCGCGTGACACCCCGTGTCCCACCCCGCGTGTCCCACCCCGCGTGTCCCCCCGTGTCCCACCCCGCGTGACACCCCGTGTCCCACCCCGCGTGACACCCCGTGTCCCACCCCGCGTGTCCCCCGTGTCCCACCCCGCGTGACACCCCGTGTCCCACCCCGCGTGACACCCCGTGTCCCACCCCGCGTGACACCCCGGTCCCACCCCGCGTGTCCCCCGTGTCCCACCCCGCGTGACACCCCGTGTCCCACCCCGCGTGACACCCCGTGTCCCACCCCGCGTGTCCCCCAGGGTGCTGCACTGTTTGGTGTCGGCGGTCTTCCAGATGACGGTGATGCGTGACCTGGAGAAGCTGGGCGGCTGGGCGCGCATCGCCATTATCTACCTGCTCAGCGGCATCACCGGCAACCTCGCCTCGGCCGTCTTCGTGCCGTACCGAGCCGAGGTTCGGCACGCTTCCCTCCACTTGACGTTCCTCGCTTAGGGGGGGGTGGTGGGGGGTGGTGGTGGGGGGCTGGTGGGGGGTAGGATGACTGAGTCGGGAAGAGGGTGATGCGGGTGTATGAATGTATGTGCGTTGAACAGTTCCCCCCTCCAACCCAGCTTAAATAGACGCTCTAAATCTGGGGTGTGTCATTCAGACTCTGTCTTCTCGACAGACGTGGTCTCCACGTGAGGACGGCTGCTTTGCGTTGTGGCCGAAACGTCTTCTTGGTTCTTTCGGTAAAGTCACGTAGAAGGGAAGTAATAAATAATAAAATAAAACATATTTTATTATTTCTGCCACAACGCAAGCAGCCGTCCTCAGGCGAAGAACAGCTGTCTTGCGTTGTGGCCGAAACGTCGTGAGAATTATTTTATTATGTTTTATCTTTATTATTTTATTATTTCCCTTCTACGTGACTTTACCGAAAGAACCAAGAAGATGAATCCCTGCAGTCACGAAAGCTTTAAATCGAAAAGACACATTTATATTACGCGATCTAACTCCAAAAAAACCTCTAGTGGCATAACATGAGACAACTTTTAAAGCCATTCCCCGCGTTTAGTGCGCATGCCGTACAACACGTTTGGATTTGACACGAGTAAAGTTGACTTACAAACAGACCTCTGGAACCTAACTCCTCGTTCGTAAGCAGAGGGAGTCCCTTTAATTGCCCCCAGCAGGACACTCTTGCAAATGACGCTCGGCCTCGCCTCTTGAGTTCTCTCTCACACCCTGCTTATTAAACGAAACGAAAACCGACAGAAACCAAACCCGCTCGCGAATGAAAAAAAACCGACGTTCTACTCGGCTACGAATCGGCCAAACGGAAAGCACCGATCCCCCGTGCCATGAGACCCCCTCCACCAACACCCCCCCCCTCCACCCCTCTCCCCGTGTGGAATCGGGACAGCGTCCTTGCGTAACCCGTGCGCCAGAGGTCGCAACCGGGTACCCGATACCCGTACCCTACCCGATACCCGGCTACCCGTACCCAGCCGGGTACAGGTACCCCGTTTGCGACCCTGGTGCGGCCGGGTACGGGTACGGGTAGGCCGTGAGTCACTGGTGAGTCACCGTTTGTCACTCATTTCCCAACGTCTTGTCTCTTCTCACAATTCAAGTTCCTAGAATCAACCCACCCGCGCCTGCAACATGGCTTCATCCCAGAGGTCGCAATCGGGTACCCGTACCCTACCGGTACCGGCCGGGTACGGGTAGCCGGGTTTCGGGTTAGGGTACGGGTACCCGATTGCGACCCTGGTGCGGCCGGGTACGGGTAAGGAATCAAAACCAGTTTGCGACCCTCTGCCGTGCGCCCGCCATTCTCCGCCCGCCGCAGGTGGGTCCAGCCGGTGCCCAGTTCGGCCTGCTGGCGTGCCTCTTCGTGGAGCTTGCTGCAGAGCTGGCAGCTGTTGGCGAGTCCCGGTTGGGCGCTGGCGAAGCTGCTCGCCATCCTCGTCATCCTGCTGGCGTTCGGCCTGCTGCCGTGGATCGACAACTTTGCGCAGATGTCCGGCTTCGTGGCGGGCCTGCTGCTGTCCTTCACCTTCCTGCCGTACATAGCGTTCGGGCGCGCCGACCGCTACCGCAAGCGCGTGCAGATCATCGGCTCTGCGCTCGCTTTCGCCGGCCTCTTCGCAGGCCTGATCCTCGCCTTCTACATCTACCCCATAAACTGCACCTGGTGCGAATACCTCACCTGCATCCCCTTCACCGACGAGTTCTGCGAGAAGTACGAACTGGAAGGGCACATCCACTAGGCCGGCCGGCCACGCCCGCGGCCGTCGCGAACCTCTCGCGTTTTCGCCGGAGCGCGATGGGGCGTCACGATTTTTACCGTCATCTTTGCCGTTACGGCGGAGGAGGAGCGTCCACCAGGAGTCGGGGAGGGGGGCGACAGCCGACGATGTCGTGCAAGGAGGGCGCCGGTTTCTTCCCGTCACGGAGGCAGACGCGCTGCTGCGTTTGTCTTCGCCGCCGCTACCGGAGTGTAGCCGCAACTCAAACTAAAACTACGAAACTGTGTTTTATTTTAGCAGCTCTAGGGCGCACCGAGCTATGTAGCCGTTTTTTTTTTTCAGAAGGGACCTCGCCACGAATTATAGCCTAAGGAAGTGTGTTTTTGTTGTTGTTGTTTTCGCGTGGACATTTATAGCAGCCAAATACTCTGAAACGCGTTGTATGTTAGTTCTAAATGTGGAAGGGAAAAGCGGAGGAGCCTCAGGAATCCACGCGACCACGTGAGAGAGAGAGAGAGAGAACACGCAAACTCCAAACATACAGCAGGTGTCGGGGTCGAAGCCACGACCTCCTGCATACCAGGCGAGGTAGTTAACATCTAAACAGAATTGCGTCTACCATGAGATCAGTCACCGATTTCCATCCGGAGGATCCGTACTCGCCAAATCATTATCCTCGCTGCAATCGGCGGCGCCACATTTTTTTTTCGTTTCAAAAGTTTGAAACAAACAAAATAACTCGCAAACAATCCACAGATGCCGTGCGTCAAATTCCAGCAAGTCTTACGGAAGCAGCAACGACTCAAGGTGTCACCTGCTCCCCCCCCCATGTGAATTTCAACTTTCAAGGGGCTCTTCCATGCAGGGCATTCATTGCAGGGTATCCATTGGCGGCAAGGTGATGCCGAGTGTGGTTGCGCCGACGGCTGTACGCGTCGGAGGTAGGGGGGGCGCACACTGGATTTTGTTGAAATAATTTACTGTACCGGGCAGCGGGTGTCAGATGCTGTCGAAATTCACTCCAGCCCGAAATTGAGCCGCCGATGACTTTTGTGGTCGGGGGGCGGGGGGGAGCACATGACCGCGGGGCGTGGCTGTCGAATCGCTGTCGATTTTTGCCACGTGGAGCGATCCGCGACCGTGTGCTGTCTTGCCGTGTAATTGCGTCGCATGCTTCGGTGTGAAAATCGCGCGCAGCTTAAAAAAAAAAATGGCCCGTGGCGCGGATTTAGTTGTAACAAATCAGTGGATATATATCACTGCCGACAATTGTTTCTTATATTTTTCGGTCATATATTTTTTCATCTTCGTTATTTTCGTCAAAAGTCACCGAAGCGTCGTCGACGACGACGACGACTTTGGGAGCCGGCAAAACCGAGTGCCACCGGCGCGTGTTGACCCGACCGTGACAAGACCGACTTAGGAGCCTGAATGATAAAGACGCAGCCTCTAGATTACACTGGTCAACACCCTTTTTCTGGTCTTAGGTGCTGATTCCAATCTGGCATCAGTTTTTGGGTCCTCACATCAGTTTTTGAGATATCAAATATTACATTTTCAATAAAAACTGCAGAAGTAAAAAATTAAATAAATGTGGATATCTACATAAACTGATATTATAAACACACTATCCTAAAAATACAGCACCGTATTTTAGCACTAAAGCAGTCACTGACTCGCAACAATTTGCAATCATAAGTGACAGAGTTAACTTCGGGTAAAATCAATGAAAACGGGGTATGCCGATAGCATAAAAATGAGATGTGATAGAGCAAATCTGAGATCAGATTTGGAATCAGCACCCTGAAATTAGTCTAGATCAGCTGCAAAAGTCCAGGCCAGAATTTTTTTTTGTTGACCAGTGTTATTTGATGTTGCCAGAGGCCGCCACAGTGAGCCGATGAAGACCCAAACAAGTCGATTAACTTTGTATTTTAAACAATTTACTGAGCTCACCACGCTGGCGAGATGTTTATCTCCCTCGCGTGGTATACAGGAGTTCGTGGGTTCCATCCTGAGCCTTGGGCCTGTGCATTTGGAGTTTGCATGTTCTCCGTGTGGGAACTCCAGCTTTTCTCTCCACGTTTAGAAACATTGCATTTCGTTTAGTTGGCTGCTATAAATGTTCCCCATGTGATAAGCCGCTTCGTCTGGATAATGTGGCCAGGTCGCTTCCAAAGAAAAACAGCTCTCAGCTCGGTGGGACTTAGCTGCTAAAATAAAACAAGATTTGCTGGGCTGACCTGATGTTGGAGGGAGCGGGCCAAGCCCTTACACCATCTCAGTGACAAAGATTTGACTGCGTTTATGACCGATGATGAAATCCACACTAAAGGATTAACATTTCCACAGCTTACAAAAATAACGATTAGGAGCAGTTATTGCCCCTTTGAGCAAATTATGGAGCGTAGGGCGATCGCGAAAGAAGCCACTGCCGCCAGTTTGGCAACGATTCTTTGCCGTTGTGTAATCCCGATTGATTGATGTGCGGGTCGTTTTCTTTGTTGACAATTTGGCAAGAATTGGACCGTGACGACGCGGGGGCCTTTAACTACCCGTTGTGACATCCACAGCACTGCCAACGACGCACAGGACTTCATGGCGGATGCACGCGCCGCGGTATTAACCAGGGCGGGCTGC